CCAAGAAAACAACACAATGTCCCCGGCCAGGGCTCGAACCCGGACAGCTCGATCCGGAGACGAGCGCACTAACCATGAGGCCACCGCGCCTCCCGGTCCATTACTAAGGGGATATGAAAATGGAATAAATTTGTTACAACCATTCAACATTGTAACATTAGTTGAGATAACAAAAAAACGTAAACTATTTCCCTCAATAACATGAAAGCTGAAGGCTGGCAAGGTTTGCTCCAAGTAAATATCTCAAATTTGAGAGATCCCATAACTTTGCTGCTATCAAACCAAAACAAAAACTTGATGTCATTAATTACTTTAAAAAAGCCTCGGCCAAATAAAAACAACGGATGACTGCCGAGGAAGAACAGCGTTAAATCCTTTAACAGGTAATCAGTGTAAATAACAATGATCAAAAGAGACAGACTCAAGATGAACAAAAAAAGGCTTTTTTGGTGTCCAAACATAATTAACTATCCTAGTTGAGCAATTCTGGGGTTAAAATGTTTTGAACAACTTTATATCGGCAAGAAAAATCTAACATAACCCATGTCCCTCTTGCTCTCTCCAAAACTTTTCTACAAGAGCATTTCGAATGCGGGTTGTCTGTGGGCAAGTGTCCCTTATCTTTGGGCAGTTCCTCATTTGTAGAAGTCTTCGTATTGTTGGTCTATCCCTTAATTCTCCTGTGGAAGGATTTCTTGTCAGATCAAGCTTTTTTGAAATAGGGTCACCTCTGTCAAGACAAACATGGAGAACAATGCAGGCTAATGAAGTCAATTTGACCTCCTCTGGTCTGCTTTCACATTTTCCAAGAAGACTTCTCCACCTGCCTTTAAGTTGCCCGTATGCTCCTTCTGTCACCATTCGCCCTCTACTTAACCTATAGTTGAAAAACCGTTGTTGGGGAGTAAGCACAGCATTTATAAATGGTTTCATAACCATGTTCTAAATAAAAAAAGCAGAGTCTCCCTGGATAACAGGTGACACAGTTACTCCATTAACATTTCTACCTAGACTAGGTATTATCTCTCTCTCTCTGCAATATCTTCCCAACGTTCAGTAGACTGAAAAATTATGAGAATTCCCTGGGAACCCACAACTAGCCCAAATGAATCTATATTTAGCATCAACAATAGCCATAAGTATAATCGAATAAAAGCTTTTAAAGTTATGGTATTCTTTTCGCGATTCTGCACCACCAGCAAGACACTTTAAAGGTAAATGATATCCATCGATTGCGCCCCAGGCATATGGAAACTGCCACAATTGCTCAATGTCTAAAACCTTCTCCTTGTACTGTGCTTCACTTGTTGGGAAATGTTGTTGCACGCAGTCTTTCCATAAATTATCAACAATTGCCCTACACACTTCACTAACTACACCGCATACGGTTGACACCCCCAGACCAGTCATCTCCGCAATGGTGTAGTAATAGTCGCCTCTATCAAGGCGGTACAAACAGATTGCTAACCGGAAAGCTGTTGATATAGGTTCTTCAGTGACTGTCTCTCGTTCTAGGTCATCTTCGATACGACTGAGAATAAACAGGAACGTTGCTCTTGGTACTCTGGACAACTTTTTAAACTTAGCATCCGAGTACTGGTGCCAAACAATATCCCACCAACCTGTACTTCTTGGCAGTCGGCGACAGGATCGGTAAACTCGTGTTGCATTTTCACGGGACAAAATGAGCACAATCAACAGCAAAAGTTGAATTATTGACCTATGCTTTTGCTGAAGACAATGCAGCATATACTGTTGCATTGTCAGCCTCCTCCTTCGCCTTCCTTCAATAATTTTTTGCAAAATAAAAAGCCTCCGTTGAGTATCTTGGTCCGCCATAATGGATAGTTACGTACCCTTTGTAAAATTTTCCCGCTGACCGACATACACGGATGTATCAATTTAACGAATTAAATTCGGCAGAAATTCGACGTATAAATCAGCAGTCGTATTTCTGCCGCACTTAATTGAATTGAATTCGACTCGGCAGAAATGCGACGTATGAACCGGGCCTTAGTCGCTTATTTGATAGCGTAGTTGATTGCGTCAATGTCAACCCCAACGCGCACGTGGCGGTTAAACCATGGCTTGCGTGATGCGCAAAACGTGTGCGCACTAACAAAAGTAGGCAATGTCCTTAAGAGAGGATATAAACACCGCTTCGTTAAAGACGCAATAGAAAAAGTACGTCAAATTCCTCGCAGTAGAGCACTCGAAACATCCATCAAAAAAGAGTCCCACAGAATTCCATTTGTGGTAACATTTAATCCCGCCCTACCGAAAATACGTCAAGTCATTTCCAGCAACCTTAACATTCTTAGCTCTTCACAGCGATGCCTAGCAACATTTTCTTCTCCTCCTCGTATATCATACCGCCGTTGCAAAACCCTACGTGACATAATGGTCAGGGCCAAACATTGCAGACAACCTCCCCCCCGGCCCCGGGAGCTTACCGTTGTCACAGAAATAGGTGCAAAACGTCTCCTTTCATAACACCGGGAACCACGTCTTACAATTTTTTCTCTACCGACGAACAAAGACGTATACGACATCACATCACCAGATCTTCTTCAAATCTCGTTTATATGATACAGTGCAACAAATGCAACGTTCAATACATAGGCGAGAGTAAACGTCATCTCAGCGACAGCTTTGGTGAGTACAGACGCGCAATCGAAAAAAACATCATACAACGACACATTAATCAACCCACCGCCGTTTCAGATCACTTTACCCTTCTTGCCCATTCTATGGACAACATAGAACTCGTTCCTCTCGAACTCATCAACTCAAATAAGGACGCTATTCGCAAGGCAAGAGAAACATTCCTGATCTCCAAGGGCAAGACCCTTGAACCTTCTGGGTTAAATTTAATCTATTTTTTATGTATCCGCTTTAGTACACGTTTCCTTTTTTTCTATTTTTGTCGACTAATCATGTCACATATTTCATTAAGTATTATTTAAAATTTTGTAACCGTTTTATCCATATCTACTTAGCTTCAGTTTAGCCCCTGAAGAAGGTTAGTACTGTCTAACCGAAATATTGGGCATTAAATTTACCCTTTTCAGCCGTCCGGTCAGCCTTTCAATTGGTTCTAAGGACGTTATAAACCAAGGCTGCATATCTCTTTCAACCTTTTAGCTGGAGTATAGCCACCATCTTGGGTAACTCCGCCGTCGCCGCCGTCGTGCGTACGCGCTCACAAGACACCGCTAGCCATTATAACCATGGGAAAATCCATTCATGGGTTTTCTTTTCTTTCCTATGAGTATGGGGCTCCGCTTGGCGGCCCTTTGTGCCGCCGGAGCTCCGCTATGAAGTGGTACTGCTGACCTCTGGTTGATCAATGCACTGAAAATGACGCACGAGAGGAACAAGGATGTTTGCTTACTAAGAAATGAATAAATTCGCGAAGATTCATTACTAAAACTGTTTTGAAAACTAAAGCAAGTGCCTTCAATATTGTTATCTTTGGGTTTAAGGTCTTTAAGTATAATTTGTCACTGAAGGAAAAATACATCGGCCTTCCTCATTTACCTTCCTCAAAATACATCGGCCTTCCTCATTTGTCGTTGTACTGATTTGTCGTTGTACTGTAATGATTCTAGCGGTGCTGCTAGCCGTTCGTTTATTGCTCCATTTCGGAAATGTAGAAATATTTTCAAGGCGTGTCTCATGTTAGTGAGAAAAAGGAGGTCACAAGGCAAAATCTACCCGGGCCTGTTGCAAATGCGAGAAGACCAAAGTACAACAAAAGAAGAACAACAACAACATAAAATGGCAAGCTGGGCGTCCATGGTTACACGATTCCCCAAAAGGTATGGTTTGTGAATAGTGCACTGAACACAAACAAACTTTGGACGCTCAGAATGTTCTGAGGTCAGCTAAATTCATAGATGGCTGTACAAGTTAGCGCGGAGACAATTTCGTATCTCCAGAACAGTACAACGCATAGCGGTGTAAAACGTTTTCACCAAGCAAAAGTTCATCCAGAAAAAAACCTGCAAATCTATCCCGTTAGCTCAAACGTACTTTTCAGAAATGTACATGCAACAAAGAAGCACAAGAAATCGTGACTGTCAGACTATCGATGGCTCCGCGACCCAGATGAGGCGAAATGGTTAACTGTTGGTGGAACATATCGCAACGTTGCACAGCAACAGTTTCGCGACCTTCAAACAAGGGCAAGAAGATGGAAATTCAAGTCTTGAAGACTGGCATTTGCTTTTGTCAAGAACACCTCAGAATGTCGACAACATCACAGAATTTGAAACCTCTGCTGTAAAATTGCCATTTGGAAATGAAAAAGTTGCAACAGATAACTTCACAAGACTGAAACAACTTGCAGAACCCATTGTACAGATCAATGCATATCACACCAACCCTAAAGCAAAGTATATTAGTGCAGAGGACATGGGTGGCTTAGAACCAACTATATATTTAGCCAGAAATGCTACGGTTATGTTAACAAGGAACCTTTGGACTAGCGTTGGACTTTGCACTGGAACAATAGGAACTGTAAAGCACATAATTTTTGCACAAAATCAAGGGCCACCCATGCTACCAATAGCTGTTATTGTACAGTTTGCTAAGGAAGATTACATAGGTCCAAGCTTTTGTAAAAATATGCCAAATTATGTGCCCATTTTTCCAGTAACATCTCATACAAATGATACAAATGGAGCAAATCTTGAAAGACAACAGCTGCCATTAAAACTTACTTGGTCCATAACCTAGGCCCTTCTGAAAATGTTGCAGGACTAGCTTATGTTGGTTTGCCAAGAGTACGAAAACGTACTGATCTTGTAATTGAACCAATGAGCTTTCAAAGACTCCAGTCAATAAAAAACGTCAAATTATAAATTCAGACTGTTAGAAGAAGCTAGGCTGAACATTTCGGTAGAAAAGACTTTGCATAATTACAAACAACTTGCATTAAAAGTCCATTCACATCTTTTACAATGTCTGCCATACAAAATAAGTAAATATTACCTACAAAACTTGTACACTAAAAGTTAGGAAATATAAATTGTATGAATACAGTTTTCTGTTAACATGTTTTCAGTGTCATTAAGGTCACTTACAAATCATTCAATTCTCATTTAAAAGATGGATAATTCTGCCAGCCCAAGTCTCACAAAAAGGGCTAAATATGGGATCCCTAAATCCCCAACATAAACTCCTCTGTCAAGCTCAGCAATAAGTAAGTTTATCTCTATTATGTGATGTATTAATACTACTAATTATACCTTACTGTTAATGTCTACTATTGCTAATGCCCATCTCAAGTAAACTGTCTCAACCATAAACCAGTAGTAAAAGACAAATATGACCAATCTAAACAACAAGGATGACATCCCCCATTCTTCCCAGGGAAAACATAAATATTGTAATCCCTTGAAATAGAGATTAATTAATATTTAAGTTAACTGTACCATAATAAATTATTTACACTGTAATAAAACTACTGCAAGCAATATAATATTGCACAAGTCATTAAATTTTGGTGCTTAATTTTATTGTATTTTCAGAAAATATTTTTTCTTCAACAGATTGCTTTGAATACATTCAAGTTCAAGAAGTCTAGCAAAGTAAAAACTCCAAGATCTTGTACTTTGACATATGACTACAAACTGCAAATGATGAATCACTGTCTGTGAGAGTTATGATCCAAAGAGGAGAGTCATCCAAGCGACAATTTAGATAAATTACAAAGCCAGCAACCAATAACACTATCCAACCTCCAAGTGGCACCAAGCAACATGGTATTCCTGAACAAGGGTACAGCTATTCAAGATGCACCTGCACATCATTCAGCTTCTGTTCAAACCACTGGAACCAATGACACCAACATCTGAAGATACTATCCTTAAGCACCACAACTCTGGAAATTTCACTCTCTCTGGTTGCATTAAATGGCTTGGAGACCCACTCAAACCAGAACATGCAAATAAAATGGTACGAGAAACTGAAATAACTGACCCTACTGTAACTATTAATTTATCAGTATGGGATAACCACATCCAGCAGATTGAAGCTAAAACATTCTACACTGGCACTAACTGCAAGCTCAAACAGTATTTTAGGAAATGCCCTGCCACCACAGTAAACACAACATTACCAAAGTACAAGAGCAGGACATCTCCCATGTTGAGCCATCACAGAACCAAGCAAACTGGGTGTGCTGCCCAGAAATCATGAACGTTTATCCAAGTGTCTATCCAGTCTGCAACAACAAAGACTGCCGCAAAAACAATTAGCGAAAATCCTGGGTCTAAGATTGTCTGTTGTCTACATTGCAACAGAGTAATGCTTCTAAAGAATTGTTATATTGAGATGAACATTAATTTTCATCTGGAAAAACAGGACCAGCGCTTTTCAGTAACAGCGTTTCCGTAAATTGTGGCGAACTTCCTTCAAGAGGACATTTTTCAATACAAGGACAACATTGACGACTTAACCGAGAAATTGAAATGTAGATTTTCAGCTTTCTCAAAATAACAAACTTGTTGTAAATATGAAAAGCCGTACCTCATCTTTACAGCAAACGTGAAAACTAACTGTCTAGTAAAAATAAACTGTAATACCTTAAGTTAGACAGACACTACTGATAATTTAGCATTGTGAAATGGCTAACAAAAATAGAGATGCTTTTTTGTATTACTTTCCGATGTTTAGTAAATTGAATAGAAAATTGTTTATTAATGATTCTTCAACCAAAACATGAACAGTTTGATTCATTTCCTCTGATTAGCCTTCTTATCAAATTGTTATTGATTGTCTTTTTTGAAATTATTAGTTTTAAGATTTTTAACTTAACATTAAAGCCAAGCTTAGGTGCCACCTTTTTGTGTAATGTAAATAGCTCTTTTTAACATATTTCAACCATTATCCAACATTTTTAAGGATTGTCTTTTTCAGAATTGTTAAAATATTTTTCAAGATTTTCATCTTATTTTATCAACATTGAAGCCCAGCACGTGGCTATCAGAGCCCGAACATACCTCTTGTTGTAAATATGATCTTTTTTGTTATGTAATAATATCAGTTACCTATATGTAAAACTCAAGAGAACAATAGAACTCATTTGCGTAACAACAGACAAGACAGGAACTGCAGAACACAAAACATCTGCTGCACAGTAAGTTGTGTTAAATGTAAATGTGCCTACACCAAGACTTATCAATATGATAGTAAACGTTCTTGACTAGCAACATAGACATGGTTGCCGCAGATACATGTATCAGTTTGCAAAATTCCCTCACCTTTCCCTTTCAAGAATGTAATTTCCCTGACCTAATAAATACAAAATGTCAGATGTAGGAGCAGCTTCTATCCTCCCCTTAGCATTCCTTTCCACCCACTCTTTAAGGCTGATAAGCATTCCAAAAGTTTTCCATCATCATCAAGGAAAAACATCATTGAGATCAATGACCCCAAATGCTTCCTCCAGCCTTCAGTGGTATCAGGTAAGGCATGTTTAAGTATTCCAATTTCCCCAACTTTTCTTCAAAACGTCAATTTTTCCTGACTCAAAATAAATTCCCTGCCTTTTCCTACCATAAAGTATTTTCCACTGACCATTTCCTTGACATGGGGCAACCTTGATAGAGTGCAAGCCAACCATGAAATACCACCTGTCTAAAACTTTTTGAAACTCTACAAGTCTTTCTCAATCTAACTAGCTAACCAGGTTTAAAAATTTCCATGTAATCACATTCACTGACCAGACCAGCTCACCAAACCAGCAAAGAGTATAGGTTTTCAGTTTCAGGAGAGAGAATTTGTTATTTCATTCAAATTTCTTGGAGGGATCATTTCCTTTACCCTAAAGACTTTCCTAATGATTTTTGTGGAGTGTCAATGGTTGTATCTTAAGATATTCACTTTAAATAAAGTTGCTCAAAGTGCAGCCCCTCTAGTATTATTTTTTAGGTTGCAAAATACATATAATTTAGTTACTCTTAGGCCACCGCCTAACAGCTAATGACAAAGGGATAGGTGAAGAGGAAGAAGAGGACAAACTCCCACTACAAGACATCAGCAGACACATTCCCAACTTATTAATAGCCGAAAAGGAAATGATGATCATCCTGTACGCTTTGAAGGAGAAGATCGTGTACGAGATTTCCTGGAGTGGTTAGACACCCTCACTGAAGAAGACACTCATCCACTGACTGTTGTGGCCCATAATCCCAAAGGTGCAATGGTTATTGTGTGATCAAGGAGTATCACCGGCAACACAACATCATCGAACAGATCTGTAACAGTGCCTTGTTATTGCAAGTAACCTTTTATCACATCCGTTCAATGTATTCTCTATATTTCTTTCAAATGCCTCTCTCCACTTTCTCCAAGATGCTTGCTCTCAACGCTCTAAACGACAAACCAAGATTGAAAATTTCCTTGTATTCACGTTCAAGACCCAGACCGGCTCACCAAACCATCAAGAGTACAGTAATGTCAGAACACTCGGTACGGGTTTTCAGTTTCAGGAAAGAGAATTTGCGATTTCATTCAAATTTCTTTGAGGGATCATTTCCTTTACCCTCATGACCTTCCTAATGATTTCTGTTGAATGTCAATGATATATTGATTATATCTAAAGATGTTCACTTCAAACAAAGTTACTCAATGTGCAGCCCCTCTACGTGTATTAATTATTTTTTAAGTTACAAAACCATACGTATAATTTACTTACTCGTAGGCCACCTTAAGAGCCAATGACAAGGGGAAAGGTGAAGAGGAGGAAGAGAACAAACCCCCACTGCATGTATTCTTTGATATCGAAGCCAACCGAGACACTGGGAGACTCATTCCCAAGAGCTTACCTTGCATTTCGAGTATCAACAGTAGCTGCACTGCTGCTCACTCGTCGGTGTATCGAATGGCAGACGTGAAGATCCGTGACTGTGGAGAAGTTTAGAAGAAGAGGGTCAGAGAAAAAAACCTGGTAAAACACCCCAAAGAAAAGTTAGCTTTAACCCTATAAATTACCCATCATGAATAAGTTTGAGCCAAAGAACTTTCACATTAATTAACTTATACTCCCGCCTCTCCTCGCGTCCCAACCCATTCCTCTTCCCACAATGCACTTCGCTCGACGATGCAAGTATGTGGTGTAACGACAACAAAGAATAATCACAATTTGCGTATCGGCCTCCCATTATGGCTCCTGGCGCTATATAAGTTTTCAACAGGGCCAGTTGCCGAGATCCCTGTCTTTCCAGTTGCGACCGATCGATGGCGAGATCTCGGCTGGGCTGGATGGAAATAGAATTTACGAGGCGTCGTGTTTTGTTTTCTTTCTTGAATTTTCTAGTCCACAAAATCGTGTCGCGTGTTCTTTTTTGTTTGTTTGTTGTTGTTGTTGTTGTTGTTGTTGTTTTTGCTGCTGCTGTTGCTGTTGTTGCTCTTGATTCATCTCTCATATAAACCTAACACTAAATTTTCAGGTCACGGTTGCTCATAAGGAGAGGCCTTCCTTTACGAATAATCTGGGAACTATGAATTAACACGTTCGTGAAATTAATAAGAAAATTAAAGAATGAAAGTTAACGCTTCCCTTTTAACGACTGCTGATTTTATGTAATAGGGTCTACTAGGTATTTCAACTGAATTAAAAACCTCTGAACATTTTCCTGTATACAAAAAGCTTAGTAAGCATGTTCTTATCAGTGGCCTACGCCCACTAGTCCATAAAAATCTCCATGTTCATCGTCTTGAAATGTCATGAGGGCAACATCGTGATCATTTGCATAATGACTATATCTTTCAGTAAAAGAGTTTGAGTGCTTGTCCTGAAGATGATTACTTGGTATACAGTCTACTGTGGATTATCATAAAATTAATCAACACAACACGAAACACAATGACCACAGGAAAAAAAGGGAAAGTAAACCTTACAAAGATCTTGATTATTTCTATTCAGTGAGAGAGGAGCAAGTAAATAAACCTAAGATAAAATTAATTGATGTTATTTCGTCACACATCGTTTATAGTAGTTTTTAGCAAAACATCCTTCAGTTCTCACGCTGATTTACACACACTTTAAATTATCTTGCCCATCAGTTTCCTGTTTCTATAGTTTTTAGATAAAAGTTTATTTATATTTTCGAAATAGAAAGTCAATTTTAACATTATTTGCATATATATGAGTTTTGATGACATTTTACAGCTCATTGTGTGTTCTGTGGTATTTGCATTCTGTGGCACCTGCAAGTCGCTAAGTTCATTACAACCTTCCTAAAAAGAGTGTCAGTCTGCGTAACTATAAAAGGGCAACTAGCTTTTTACAAGAGAGCCAGACGAAGCTCAGAGAACCGAGTTTTGCTTCGTTTTAGTTGTGGAGCACAGCTTTTAGAGTACAAAAAAGGAGTAGTTTAATTGTCAACAAACTTGTGTGCTTAATCTGATAGATTTGTGATAAATGCACCTTGCTTTCTAATCAACTGAGAGAAGTCGAAGAAACAGATTCGTTCTATTTCCATCACGAATTTTACTTTTTTCAACCGAGATACTGACTTCTTCTTCAGCAATAAGAGATTGTCAGATGGCAGCTCTGTTCGGTGATAAATATTTCTGGAACGCTTCGGCTAAAATTGTTATGGACGAGTTCACAAGATATTTAACAGAGGAAACCCACGGACAGGCGACAATTTTTGGTATCTTTTACGTCCTCTTATCAATGATCACAGTGGTGGGAAACGCGCTGGTGATCGCCGCTGTCTGGAAAGACCCGTTAAAGATACTGAAAACATCACCCACCAACTTGATTCTCCTCTCGCTAGCAATTGCCGATTTAAATGTTGGACTGTTTGTTATCCCAGGAGCAGCTTCTTGGTATCTTCGTGTTGGAATTACGGAAACAGACCCATGGCATTCCCAATTAATTTTTTTAACACTCAGGCAGGGTTTTCTAACAGTATCTGTTGGCCACGTACTGTTCCTGACTGTGGACAGGTATTTCGCTTTGGCAACGCCCTTAAAATATCGAACAAAAATTACCAGAAGAACGGTTGTGGTGGTCTCGTCTTCGATATGGATTTGTGGCATTTCTCAAGCAGTGGTGATAAGCATTCTACAGCAACATTTCGTCATCACATGGTTAATCTCTATCGTGGTGATATTTTTGTTTGCAGAAACCATTTATGTTTTATATCTTATGATATTACGACACCTAATGAAACATTCTAAAGAAAGGATCCCGCTGGAAAATTCTCAGTCAAATGTAGCGTCGTTGCATCAGCGGGAAAGGAAAGTGTTTAGAGTAATTGTTTCAGTAGTTTTTGCATTTGACTGCTGTTTTACCCCTTGGATGGCAACCCAAGCTTTGATATATTTTTGCAAACCTTGCCACAGTCATTATAACGTGCTGATGGTTTGTTATAATGTAGCGACTGTGCTTATGTTCGCGAATTCTGCTCTTAACCCACTCGTGTACTCCTGGAGGTTTTCAAAATTTCGAGCGACATTCAAGCATTTTGGGGGAAAGTTTACCCAGAAAGGAAGAAGAAATAAGACAGCCAGGATCACTGTAAGAAGTGAGTCATTGAACACACCACTTTGAGAACAATTTTGTAGTTTAAGATTGTACAAAAACGAATTAATATAATTTGAAATATATGCTAAATATACTTTCTAGTTATCTGTACGAATATAACGCTGACAGGTGATTCTAGAGTTCATGCGATATTATAATTTGCACAATCGTGACTTTGTAATGACAGTCCTTAACTATGAGGTCATATTTAAATCATATAAATTTAGCGAAAGTCAAATGTTGTAACCGCCTGGTAAGGTTTTTCCACTGTAAACGAACTGGAATGGACGATTTGAAATCAGCTAGGACCGTAACTAGTAACAGGCAAGCGTCAGTCACTTTGTTTTCGTTTTTGTCTTTTGTAGTCATCATAAACATCCTAAATACCTAAGAAGAACTGAAATTTAGCCATGGAAATTGCCTCAGTCATAACTTTTTTTTTTCCTAGCTAAGGCCCAGGGGCGTCTTGAAATATGAATGCTTTGTTCAACGAGTAACTACAAAGGCGCTTGCTGGGAAAACTAGACTTAAACGGAGACTGACTTAAAAGGAAGAGATATTACACAGGTTTACAATCTGGGTACTGGGATGTTGCTACGCACTGAAGAGATTGCAACACTGATCAACATCTCGACCTGGGTTCCAACAGTAGTCTATTCACTACGAAAAATAATCGAAGTGTGGTTCAAGTCAAATCATCTTTATTTAGGCAGGGTAGCCCCATCAGCCATAGGCTAGTATAAAAAGGGGCCCTGCGTAAAATTAAGAGTACATGATAAAAAAATTCCGAGTTTAGAAATTACCTCAACGTTATGTACAAGGAGTTTAAAACGATTGGTAGAGGTGTGTATTGTTACACTAAATAGAAAACGAGAAAACGATGGAAATAAGTTTATAGTTCGGTTTTATCTTAGTTGTTTGTTTGTTTGTTCGTTTATTTGTTTTTTAAAAAAACTAACACAAGTTACTGTTAGCCGGGAGACTACATTCAAAATAACAGCTAATAAATGAAATCAACTGTATAAGTAATGGCAACTCCTTAGTGACTTTGAGCCCAGTGTTTATATGGTCCCATCAAACGTGCCCATCCCCATTACCCACAATCAACACCAATCTGCCGTTTACCATTAGCTTTTAGGGAGCTTAAGCAAGGACGGCGGCGACGCCGAGGACGACACCTAGTCAAAAATAAATTTATAATTTACCAGCGAAATTCGCAACTGTCTAAATCTGTTCAGAACACCAATGGCTCTAAAAACGTGCTCAGGCTATTTGTACAATGGCAGCGTTTAATTCCAAATGGAAATACGAAAAATTAGCCGTCGTCGCTCGCGTTCCTCATACTACGCAAAACTTGGTCATTTCATGTACTTGTTGTGCCGAGGACGGCTACGAAATGTACAAAGATTTATAACGCACATGCACAGCCATTGTTCTACTCATTAAAAACCTTTTTTTGGTGACGTTCTCTTTGCCGTCGTCGTCGTGGTTTGCTTAAGTTCCCTTTTATTACAGGCTGCACGACGTTTAGCCGCCTTGCCTAGAACAGTTCCATTGAAGTTCTGATAAACAAAGGCACTAATCGAATTGTTACTTTGATATCACAATTTTTTTTCCTGTACATCGTAACCAAACAAACTAGTAGGATTAACCTAATCATAACCGTTAAGAGTCAACTGAATGCGGCTACTTCCAGAGCATTTCACTCGACAAAAAAATAACTCTTGCACACCTTGCGTGCCTATGTTTATGGCATATGGTTGAGTCAGCTTGTGTAACAAAATCTCCATGGTGGGGTTTCGAGAATGTCAGCACATCACCGGTGGGGCAACAGCAAAACATTCTTTTCTCTAGAGTATCATAGAAGTGTTTTCTTTGCAACCAGCAATATAGACAGTTGGAATAATGCTAACATTTCTCACACTACATTTACCACGAAGAAAGTATCGCTTCTCATCCGATCACCAAACCAAGTGATAAAATCTCTGTGTTACAGGTTCTCATTTTCTTTCCTTTTTATTCGTTTTTCATCTCCCTGCCAATATCGTGATTTTCTCCCCTTGCATTTTTTTTTCTAACGGCTTCTTCGACAGCGCTCGGCTTGGTCCATCTCCCTGATGTGGTCAAGGAGAGTTTGACCGCTCCATCGGATATGTATTTTGGTGGTTTTCACCATCATGTGGTCAAAAAAAAGACGTAACCATTCAATAAATAAAGTCAAGAATCTGGGATATGATGGTTGATTGATATATAAACAACCTCGCCAAGATTTAGGTCTGTGCGCATCAGCTACATAAGCTCATTCGGGGTTTCGATTGGTTTATTGGATCGTCCGTGTGATTCGTGATTGACCAGTGTAATTACTTTAGTTTTGGTTTAAAGAAACTCGATGAAAACCGCTCCAATTTAACGATGCTAACAGATAACTGTGGGGAAGGGGGATTTGAAAATGGCAGAGTTGGAATAGTATAATTATTTTGGTGTAAAACTAGTAGACGTTCAAAACCTTATCTAAGACCTCTTCGCAGACACTTCGAAAACCCAAAGAAACGGCCATCATTTTATTAACCACCTCACACTGCTAAGCTACTCAATATCTGCTGTTGATCTCCTAAGCAATTAGATTATGAGCTCAAGATTTCTTTTTACAATAACTGTCTAATTTCTCGCGCGCTGATTGGCTCATTTTTATCATCAGTAAGAGTACAGACGGATAGAATTTTAATTTAAGCAAGCTTTCAAGTTCAACTTTCAGCTGTCAAACTGTCAACGTTTTAACCAGTGAGATTTTATGGACTTTTTTAAGTAGCCAATCCAAAAGCGAGAAATTGACAATGTTCGCGTCATTTTGAATCAAATTCACTTATCTTTGTTTACGGCAAGTTTACGGCGTCTTTTCCCCTCATTAATTCCCGGCATTTGACTATTTTGGGGTCTTGTTATTGTAAAAAACAAATTGACGTCAGTTTTTTTATGCGTCTGTCCTCTTCATGATGATAAATTTCGTCATAACATTGTCAAAGTTTACTTATTGTCAAAGTTTTCGCTCACGATTTCTATGCGTGATAGAAATCTCGAGCTCATAATCTAATTGTTTAATAGATAGTGAGTATCGTAGCCAATCAGAAAACGGCATTCGTGATAGAACGCTACAGTAGATTTATACTAAAACAGAATAGGCAGTAAGTAGCTAGCGCAGCCAATAAGGGATCATAAGAGAACGGTATTGATGATGGAACGCTAGTAGATCTGTAGACTGCGAATAGTCTCTCTTTTCCTCGAAAATCCGTGGGGAAGAACGCAAGACAAGTAAGTGTGCGAGCGTGAATGCAAGCGTGACGTACGAGCGGCGATGCTGCGAGCCGCTAGTGCTCGTCTTCCAACGCCCGCGCTACTAGCGGCTCGCGGCATCGCCGCTCGCACGTCACTCTCACAGTCACGCACGCACGCTTACTTGTTTTGCGTTCTTCCCCACGGATTTTCGAGGAAAAGAGAGACTGCTTGCAGTCTAGTAGATCTATACTAAAAATCGATAGACATATGCTAGTCTTTCCAATGTACTGGGCGTTGCAGCCTTGTGTACGAATGGGTATATTATTCGTGATGCGACATCATTACATTTAAAATTCTTCTTAGTGCTGAGAAAGGGCAGTTTTCTAGTTTGAGTATATCTTTTATTGAACTTGTCACTTGGCACGAACTTGAGAGAGCTTTCATCAAAACTTCTTCCGCAGAAAGTTTTGGTAATTAGTATTTAGGCCCACCTGTTCAAATATTTCTTTTATAACAACATGGGTAATAAAATGTTAACCAATCACAGAAGAACATTCTAGTGACGTCAACAAATGAACAATTTAAGAAAGTGACGGGTGGCAACATGCGTCCTACACCGGAGCTAAAAAGATCAGATTTGCGTTATAAACGCGATATTTAATTGATATTTACTTTGTACGGCTGACAAGAATATGAAAACCGAAGTGTTGTAGAAATAGGTGTCGCGTTAATTTACATTAGAGCAGTTACTTGGTTTTAATTTCCAGTTTGAATTTACTAAGCTAGCTGGGTTGTGGTTCCTTTTAAGCCTTGATAAACAAAAATTATTCACAGCATATCTCAAAATGACTTAAGTACCAACACGTTACAGTTTAGCAGAGACCCAGACACATTTTTACGCGAATTTTTTTCCAGAGGGAGGATGCCATGGTACATTGTTGGTGATTGCCCCGCTGGAAGGATGCCTAATGCAATATCATGGCGAATCAGCTTCCTCGTCATAGGAGAGATCAGCACCTTATCTCTCGATTTTTGCCCAGATAAACGAAAACACTTTGATGAACCATCAGTTTCTCAAAACTACAAACATTAAAACAATTTGACATCCAGTATAGCGATCAGAATTTCCCTCTTGAATTAGAAACTGTTAAGGTGTCAGAAAAAGAGACTTAAAAATTGCTATGATCTTAATTTGTAAAAAAGGCAATAATTAGACAAAGGCGTCTTCAAGTCTCACGAGGAACAGCTTCTGAAACTTGACATTCAGCCATTGTTTGCTTTGCCTTCCTGTATCATTGGTTATCTGTGCTGAAC